TTTGGGGTTATTTCCACGCTGACACTGCACAATAATATTCCCTTCACCTGATGGAAGTAAAAGTGAAACAAAATGGAACAAAAATATTACAGAGATGTGGATCCTGAAGTGTTTTCTGACATTTTTTGTATACACTTAAAATATATTGTTAGTAAATATTTTAAGGGGTTTTAAATCTCAAACTGGGTGTTCTATACCAAGTATTTACTTGATATTCTATTTTGCGCCATTAATACATTCCTTTTAAAACCCAAAATACCCTGTACGAAGCTACAGCTACAAAGGCCTACATACAGAGCTACCAGTTCAAAAAAAAGGGTAAAGCCACTAAATGATGCCCCGAGAGGGCCTGAGTTCCGAGACTCTTCACTGAGGACAGTAAGGCACGCTTTAATTGGTATGAATTATTTATCAGTCAATTACAAACGACTCTGTGCCCCCTCCCCCCCAAATCACTTACCTCTTCAAGAAGCCGAGTTACAGCATCGATGTCATTATATGTCTTAGTCATCTGGCCAACTCTTTCAGCACATAAAACTGCAGGGAAGAAAAAGGACAATCAAACTACTGACTGGGCCACAAACCGGCCCAACAAAGGACCCGCCGAAAAAAGTGGTTCTAAAGTTATGCCCGCGTACTACACACACAGGGTGGTTCCAGAGAAAAGTCCCAAATTGTGTGGGGTGAGGGGGGCGGGGGGGGGCTACTCCTCCCCGCAAAGCCCGCCACTGCGTGCGGGTGTGTGTGTGCATGCGTGCACGTGCGCACTCGGGGGTGGTACTGAGGGCAGGGCGCTGGAGTGGAAAGGGGTCTGGCCTCGTATCTGATTGGGAAAACCGAAGTAGGTCAGCAGCACAGCCACTGATGTGTGAACTGCCAGAAAAGACCCACAGGAGCTAGACCCCACTAATTATAGAGACCCAGCCATGTGGACAGAGTGGGGCCTTCCAAAAGCAGCCCTCGGCATAATTATTTAACAACAGCCTTAGCTGGTCATTTCTTAACGGCACAGCCCCCTCTTCCCCAAACAGCCTAAATTCTAAGGCTATGCAACCAGTTTCCAAACCATGAAAACTGGGGTAGTAAGATTCTTCTCCACACTCTTTTCTATTGTAGTTTATTACAAGATATTGACTATCTGGTGCCATACAGTAGGACTTTGTTGTTGGATAGATTTTTTAATTCCACACCAAACACACACACACACACACACACACACACACACACACACAATTACATGACATATGCCATTCGCTGAGGTCATAAGAGGCTGCCTGCAGGCCACTTGAGGACTGTGTCTTTGCTCTTAGGAGATAAAGGGTGTGCACTGAAAGAAGGCCTTAGTCTCCAGAAAAATCTCAGGGCTGTTTTATTTTAAATCAATCACCAGGAATCCAACTGCAGTTCAAACAATGTGAAGATAGCATGGATTTGATTCTGAGGAGGAAGGAGGAAGTAAAAGCATTTAGGGCCCAAGTGTAACATTTTTTGAAACCTGCCACTTTGGGGCTAAATAATGACTTTGTAATCACTCCTCATAATTAAGACTCTAGAAAATAATTCTTTTTTTTAACAGCGGAAGATTTAGTTCAGCTTTCCCAATGACCCACTTGCAGTCCCAGCCCATGCGAGGCATTTGGGAACTTCCGTGTATTCCTGAACCAAATTCAGTAGCATTACTAATGGCCATCTGCGACTGGAAAGCGATAGGTCTCTAAATATTTTATTAAACGCAAGTAGAGAGCATCCTAGTGGGTGAGCAATGAGAAATCTGATCTGCTGGAATGATTTTCTAGCGTAAGGAGAGACCTGAAATCTGGTTCCAAATCTGAAACCCTCCCCACACAGGTGCCCTGAGAGCCCAGAGAGGGGGCTCCCCTGCCAGCCTCTCCTCCACCCAGGACTTTACGGCAGGACAGGAGCCATCCGGCTGCTGGCTGGAGGGAAGGGCACTGCCTCAGATATCTCCTTCCTTTCCCTTCCCTTCCCACAAGGAAAAGCAAGGGAGATGTACAGGGTTGGTTTAAACCAGAATTTAACCTGATGGAGATGGAGTCCAGGCTCAAATTGCTCTAAATAGTTCATCAGCTCAAGGTCACAAGAAATCCTTAAGTGAAGGTTTCCATGCCACGGGCAGGAGTGGGTTTCACGCTGCACAGCTGTGACATCTGACAACAATGCAGACAGACACACTGGAGCCCTGCAGCCAGCTCCCTGGAGGAGAGCGCCGCGCGCCCAGTCATCACGGACCACAGCAGCTACAAAGGCCTCTGTGTTGAAGCCCGTGTTGTGACTTCAGGGCCAGCTAATTCCCCTCCTTGCTTTCCTCAAAGGACCAAGTCCTCTGCTTTCCTACAAAAAAAGACAATCAGGCTACCTTTTAAACTAATCTTGGCTCTGTGTCACCCTCACCTAACAGAACAAGAATCGGAGGGGCTTTTTGCTCTGGGATCATATTAATCAGAAATTATGCTTACACTTTTAAAGCTATTTTCTTGAACTGAGATCACTGTGGTTAATCATGTGTAGATAATCACATGCAGATGTAAGAGATAATGGAGATTCCACACACCCCTTACCAAAGTTTCCCCCGATAGTAACATGTTGTAAAATTATATCACAACCAGGGTACTGACATCCATACAATCCAGGAATCTGACTCAGATTTCTGCAATGTTACCTGTATGGATTGTGTGTGCACACATATGCACGCCCACCTACATGGGACTATAAAGCTCTGTATGATTTATTGCTTGTGTAGGTTCATGTATCCACTGCCACAAGGATCCCCTGTATTGTTATAAACCTGGTTTTAAAAAGCTTTTCCACTCTTGGGCATATATCCAAAGGGAACTATAATCCGAAAAGATACATGTACCCCAATGTTCACAGCAGCACTATATACAATAGCCAAGACATGGAAGCAACCTAAATGTCCATCGACAGATGACTGGATAAAAAAGTTGTGGTATTTTTATACAATGGAATACTACTCCGCCATAAAAAAGAATAAAATATTGCCATTTGCAGCAACATGGATGGACTGGAGATCGTCACTCTAAGTGAGGTAAGCCAGAAAGAGAAAGAAAAATACCATATGGTATCACTCATATATGGAATCCAAAAAAAAAAAGACACAAATGAACTTATTTACAAAACAGACTCACAGACATAGAAAAAAAACTTATGGTAATCGGGGCAGGGTAGGGGAAGAACTCGTCCAATGTCACACAGGTAGCAAATGCTGAACTTCAAAAGTGAAAAGAGACTCCTAAAGGACCAGCAGCTAATATTTATGGAGTCCCTGCTCTGTCTGGGGATTCAATGTGCTTTTTTTTTCCATCTACTTCTCACAACAACCCTACAGGGTAGGCGCTATCATGGTGACTACTCCTTCGATGAGAAAACCGAGGCTCAGAGAAGTTAAGGACCCGACCAAGGTCACGGCAACTGAGGCTGTGGGCAGGGGCTGAGCCCAGGCCAGTCAGGCTCCTGTGCTGAACTAGGGAGCCACAAAAGATGCAAGGGTGAGGTTGAGGCCGGCACAGATCAGCGGTGTTTAGGAAGTATAAAGAAAGCAAAAAGTAGCTGTGGTTTGGCCAGGTCCCGGACCCCCAAGCTCTGAGGCCCAGGTTTTCACAGGAGACTCTCCCGAGGCTGTGAGGCCACAGGTCCTGACAAGTCCTGTAATTGTATGTCTCGGGTTTCCTCTTCTAAGAAGTGAGGAATCACAAATGACGTTTAAATCGTAAGACAAAGGCAGGCTTTTCAAGCACCAATTTTCTAGATATTCAACCTACAGTAAACCATCTCAAGTTCCTCTCTCCGTGGGAACAGTATTTCAAACACAGGTTCCAAGTCTGACCAAGGGAGCTCGACCATGTAAATCCATTTCCAGCCAAAAGGTGTCCAAAACAAACACAAAGTAAAAGAGCAGCCATAACCTCTATAATAACTTAATATGAGAAAACTAGGGCCCAAGTCCCTGAAAAAGAAGTTGAACACGCCAACTGCAGCAAAGCACACGTCTAGCAGGAACATGGAAGGACGTCTGCTGTCAGGGACCAGGCTCTGCGCTGAGTAAGACAGAGCCCCCCCACCCCCGAAGGTACACAGAACACAGGAGCCCACGGGCCCTGTCAGGGCGGCCCTGGGCGGAGGTCTAGGTGTGCGAGGCCTGGCAAGCCCCCTTAAAGAGTATGGGCTTTTATCGGGGGACAGTGGGAAACCACTGGAGGGCTTCAAAGGGGCAGTGTCCACAGGGGGGTTCTACTTTGGAGAACATTCTGGCTACAGTGCAGAGAAATGGGGGGGGTTGAACAGCATCAAGGCCGTTAACTAACCTGAGAAAATCCTGGGTGGCTGTGGGAGTGGAGGGAAGTGGTCTCTTCTGGAGAGAGTTAGGGGAGGCCAATCCACAAAGTATAGGATCTGGGCTTCTCACTGGGTCAAAGGGGAGATGGACATTCCACTTCCTGGGCCTCACGTAACCCTGGGAGGTGGGCACGTGAGGATGAAGGTCAGAAGCACGAGGGGGCTGCCCCAGTGAACCCACTGGCATCGGGACCACCGCTGGGGTCACCGTGGAATCACGTGCCAGGCAGAGGGCTGTCCACAACCACAGCAGCTGGGGGCCCACCTGGAAAGAACACCCTCCTGGGGGCTGGAGGTGTGCAGTCTTGCTTCGGTAGAACCCCCTTCGAGATGAGAAGAGAACCAAGTGTTTATTTGTGGGACGGCAGGTGGAATCGTGAAGCCCCAAATCAGCTGAGTAGCCCTGGGCTGGCTGACCGGGGAGAGGGACACCCAGGACTGGGCTGTCACAGCCAAACAGGGGTGAGGAGTGGGGCGCAGCCCTGAGGGGCACTCTTGTTTGAAAATCAGTAACGCAACTTCTATGGGGTGAATTAAACTGTGTCCAAAGTGGTTTTGAGAATAAATGCTGGCACCCATTTTCCAGCTCCTGTTCAGATACGAGACTCCAGCCAAGAAATCCCTAAGAGCCATGGTGTGTAGTTCCTGAACAGAAGTGAGTTCCTGCCCAATGCTAAGAATTCCAGCTGGTGGGAGGCTCTGGGATCGAGGTGCAAAAGCAGTCCCCACAGGGAAGGGAACACCTGGGCCGTGGGTGGTGGTGAAGGAGGAGGGGGCTCCGGGGTTTCATGGAGCACCGTGTGAGCCCTGGGGCAGGGGCTCTGGCAGCTGCAGCGGGAGGTCAGAGGCGGAGCCCAGGAGGCACGGAGGGGTGGGCAGGGAGGTTCTAGCACAGCAACCCGCCCTCCGTAAGGAATCTGTGTTTTGTTGCCACATTAACAGGCTTGATGCAGCACCTTGACACGTTGGCCTTATCGGTCTTCTCCAAGAAACGGGCAGAACTCACGTTCTGTATTTCAGTGGAAAGATTCTCATAAAGTTGTTAGAACAATCAGCTCTCGTCACTTCTTAACCTAATTTTAAAAACATTTCTCCTCTGCCAGTTTATATCTTTGGAGCAAATGAATGCATATTTTACACATGCGAGTGTGTATATATACATA